TGATGTATTCTATAGTTTTAACATTCTTAACACTAGTTTTTAAGATTGGATTTTGTATTACTGTAAAGCGCCTAGAACAGTCTTGGTTTGTGCGCTATATAAATGTTTATTATTATTATTATTATTATTATTAAGGCCGACGAGATAACACAAACCGGGGCACCGTAGCCGGCTTAGGCTGAAAGTTAGGCTTAAGGTTGACGTTTACGGCAAACGTCAAACCGCTAGCGAAGTTTTTGATTTTACAACTCTATTATAATAGCTTTTACACCACATCACCAGTTTTGAAATATGTTAAACAATTTTTGAACTTGCGCTCTTCTAGACTTTAGGTGAATAATTATTTATAGGAAAGCAAAAGAAAGTGTGCGCACAAGGCTTCATGCCCGCGAGGAATGCGCTGGTCTTAGTAGGCCCGCGAGGAATGCGCTGGCCTTAATTTCCCGTGCGATGATCGACTACTTGAAATTACAAGGCTTCATGCCCGCGAGGAATGCGCTGGTCTTACTAAGACCTATTGACAAAGAAAACTTGACCATCTATTGACAAAAAAAACTTGCCATATATGAAAACTTGTCATAGAAACCTTGCTCGACTGTAACCGGCTTAACATTACCTTGCAGTGAAGTTGAAGAAAAAGAAGGACGTCGCCAAGCAGAAAAAGAATGAAATAGTGTTTGATTTAATGCGTTTCGTCACCTACAACAAAACGAGGTTTTCTAGGCGTCTCAAACAGATCATTGGAAGCAAACACATTAAGCAGAAGTCGGTCTTGGCTTTTAAAGAGTTGATTGAAACAGATCCTGAAGTATACATGCTCTTTTCTGACATGTTTTCCGAACCTCCAGCGGACAGTTCGGACAATCCAATAAAATATTACATGGATATGCTTCGAAAGATGGACGCCATCATCGGCGCAGCCCCTAAGTTCCAGTATAATAGTGATGATGATGATGATGATGATGAGGATGATTACCAAGATCCAGCTAAACCATTTGGTAACATTCTTGTGTATGTAGTTGCAACACCTTCCGGAAGCAAAGCTTTTATTAACGATAAAGTCAACAAGTGTTTACGAGATATTCTACGAACTTGGACTAAATTCCTTGATAGTCCTCAATCAAAATTGGCTTTGAACAAAAAGGATGGGTGGCTGTCGCCTGAAGCTTTGAAAAGGATGCCTGGATTTATGGACACGTTTCCATGTGATAAAGAAGACGAGTACTGTGGGTACAAATCGTGGAACGACTTCTTCTCCAGGAAGTTCAAAACAAACGTCCGACCAATCGCAAATCCTGATGATCCGTACACCGTAGTTGCTGCGTGTGAGGCAAGCCCGTATTATATTTCCAAAAACCCACAGTTTCGTGATAAATTCTGGATCAAGTCACAGCCGTACAGTTTGCAACAAATGTTAAATAATGATCCTTTGAGTGAAACCTTTGTTGGAGGTACAGTGTTCCAGGCCTTTCTTAGCAGCAGATATTATCATCGCTGGCATGCACCGGTTGGTGGAAAGATAAAAAGAGCCTTCATAAAGGAAGCTGCGTTCTACGCCGATGCTTTAACAGCAGGCTTTGATCTAACGGTTGGTCAATTGTCTCAACGCTACAAGAGTCATGTGAATACTAGAGCCATTATCCTAATTGATACTGGTCTTGAGAAGATTGGTACAGTTGCCTTTATTGCTATCGGCATGAGTGAAATCTCGAGCTGTTTGATCGAGGTAAAAGAGGGACAGACGGTGAAGAAAGGTGATCAGCTTGGAAAATTCCAATATGGCGGATCCACGTACTGTCTTCTGTTCCAGAAAGGTGTGAAAGTAAAGTTTGCCGATGAATCTCTCCCCGCTGATTCCACGAATTGGAGTCTATATCATAAACAGCTGGTCAGAAGTAAAATTGCCACTATTGAACATTGAAAAGCTTAAAGAACATAATTATAGTACTAGATAAGGATTTTGGACATCTCAATCGATAACTAATTCAGTGCCCTCAGACATATTTGGTGTGGGGGCCCCTGTTGACGGTTGTCATTGTTTGACTGAGATATTATATTTGTTATGTAAATAGACATTAGTCACCAGACTTCTCACGAACTGGACAGGAACCCATGTGGGTTTTGGACATAGTTGTGTTTGGATGTTTTTCACTAGTGTTGTTCTAGTTTACCTAGTTTACTTAAAGTTTAGACTGTTGTAATAATTAATAAATCATACAAGCTGTTTCAACTGGGACTTAACAATATTTATATATATATCTTGAATACTTATAGAATGTTGTCTGTAACAATGACCAATAACAGTCTCCAACACATGTAACAACTATTAAGATTAACTTTTGTTTTATTTGAGGTGGAATAACAAAATCAGCTATCATTGTCGATGGAGGCTTTAATGTTTAGCAGCGTTAATTTTGCATTTTCCCATTGATTCCTAACCTGCATTTTTTTACGTTTTCTAATTTTCTGGGCGATATAGGTCATGGCTGATGGGGGCGTCTAACTGTCGGGGGCCCTTAGTTTTTGAACTACCCCTACCTAATGGGTGATTAGTGCTAGATAGTATACTTCAAAATAAGGTTTCCGTTTTTATAACGTAGAAAAACTATCCTAACACAAATAAACCCTAACGGCCCAACTATAACCCTAACCCCAACCCTAACCCCAACCCTAACTCTAACCTAATCCTAAATTATTTTAAAAATTGATACCTACCCCTGAGTGTTACGCCACTGCACTATAAGAATTTGTAGATGGAATATTTGAGTGGAATTTTTATACATTTATTAGACCTGACCGGGATCAGTTGCAACTATCGGCCACTCAGTACTAAAAGGTGATACCAATGTACCATACACTGGATTCAACCTAAGTATTTATACGTGAACTTGTGGTTAGAGCTGGACATGACCACTGTCTCTCTGTATGCTGTAGCTCAGTTGGCTAGGGACCGGTCATTAAAAATGGGAGAGGGGATGGGGGGCAGTGGGTGAGAAAAGGGGTGCGGCTTCAACTATTTGTGCCTGAATTGGGGGCGCCCTAAAACTGAAAAATATGTGACCAGGGCCGCCGAGAGGGGGGAGCAGGGGGGGGAAATTGCCCCGGGCCCCGAGTTGCTGGGGGCCCCTGAAAAATTTTTGTTGGGCCCCAGACTTTTTGGTGTGTTAAATATTTCCGCGCAAAGGACAAGATATCTGTTCTCTTGGGCTAAGTACCGAATTTTGGCATAAAAAATGAGATAAAGTTCCTCGAAAGCAATTGCAACGTACTCGTCCGGAAAAATTTTGTACTCCGGAAAAATTTTTTTACCCCTAAAATGGTACACTGACCGAAAATTGTTTGGCGAGTGATTAGTCGTAGTTTCCCAGTGCAGTTCGCCATAGGGGTCGGAGTAAATAACAACCATTTTGAATAGTGGTCATCAAATTATTTAGACTACACAATGTTTCACACCAGTACTTGTCCCATTACCTATTTTACACCGAAAAAATGTAACGAATTAAATGTTGGAGTGGGGCGGGGGAGCCCTAAATTTTCTAGATAAAGGTGGGGGCGTCTTGAAAATAAATGTCTTGCCATCGGGGGCGGCTCTAAAAAGTGACCGAGCCTTAGAGTGCAGCATATATCGGCCGCAGGTTCGTCTCCTGCAAGAGGGTCGAATTGATAATCATTTCAAATTAATGGAGCTCTCCGTTCCATTTCTGGCAGCAATTAATGCATGATTGCCGCAAAATACATGAAAAGCCTGCCTCATTTCTAAACTTGACACTGTCCACCATTATCACCAACGTTTTTCCTATATAATTTTTACAGTGTCGAAAAAGTGCTCAATACCATTTATTAGGTAAAGCGAATATTAACTTTGTTTACTTAAAATTTTCGTCAGTTCACTTCGCCATTAGGGTGAGGGTTAGGGAGGTTAGGTAACTCCTGTTAGGGGTTAGAGTGTGTGTGGGGTGGGGTGGGGGGTGAGGGTCAGGTTATTAATGTATCTGTATGATGATATACATCATACATAAAAGTGCACATGTATGATGATATAAAGCATAGATTTAAGCATGACCGTATGAACGGTATGATGATATACATCATAAAAATGATGAGACTGTAACAAATTTGACTTGCGAACGTGAAGATTTTTTGGCCTCTTTTGGTAATTATTTGGCCGCGAGCATGCGCAAGAGCCAACCGCTGATCAAAATTCAAAACTCAAAAGTTCAAAACAAAACACTCTCTGAAACAGGAAAACGTTTACTAAATTTTTCAAGCTTTTCTGTTTAAAAAAAAAGAATTATGGCCTGCGCGTTGATGGGTCTCGAAAAGGTATGAAAATATTTGGGTTTTTGTAAACACAGCTTATCATACAAGTGATACAACGTACTGGCCATGGAAATGTTCTAATTAAATCATTTAAATGGTAGAGAGTAGATATGGATAATGTTTGATCATTCTGGGCATCTTAGCATTTACATGACAACTGTGTCAACCTTACACATTTCAGGGTTGGTTAGGTCTGAAGGCAGACCTTCCATGCAACTTTGTGATTTGTCATTGAAAATGAGTGAGATGCAGTTGTTTTATTCCTATTGGGGACAGGGGACTACAAACTCTCACCCATCTGTCGAAGGCAGTCGAGATACAGTTGTTTTACTCCTATTAGGGACTACAAACTCACTACCACCTGGAGGCAGTCGACTGATTGAGAGTGTGGGCTATACACGGAGATCCAGGTCAATTAAACCTCGGTCTTGCTGTATTGGCCTACCTAGGGGAGGGGGGGGGGCAGAAAATTATCAGCCCAGAAAGTGCATTTTTCCAGCTATAATTTTGCTTAAAGACCATGTAAAGTCCATTCTGCACATACGTTCTGCGCAGGCCTGCATTCCAATGGTTGAGACCCTACCATTAATGGATTTATGTTATTAATATTTTGCACCTTTCGAACTTTCTTGAATTGAATCTCTAGTCTGTATTCATGCATTTACAAGCATAGTGAACCAGAAGAGTGTTAAAAATTTAATATAATATATATCTAATCATATTTTACATCTATAATCATATTTTCTATATTGCCTAATGATAGGCAGATATATTTCTGTCAAGTGTCAAGCATTAGGCCAAATAAAAAAAATACTTGGTTAGCGTCACACTCTCACAAATTTCCAGATGTGTGAGGGCATTTTTTTTTTATTTTTACTCGTTTTTAATTTTTTAATAGTATTTTTTGGGGGGATAGGGGCGGTTTTTCCACCATATTGTTGAATTTTTTTGTACTGATGTTGTGAAGACCACCATTTTGCTATAAGCACCTTGGACGCTTATTTCCAGGCTTGTGTTCAAGCATCACAGTTTATGATATCGTCCCTCAAGCTATATAACTGATATCACCTCTCAGTCACCCAGGCCACCCAAGTTGTCGCTTGACAGTGCCACTGCTACTACCGGTACTCTTCACTCTGGTCATATTCAGCAAGTGTCCTCCCAGTACAGCAGGCCCATTTATCAATGAAAAATTGAAAGCTTTGCGTTTTACACAGAGCTGCCAGTCTTCAGTAAAATGGTTGCTGATAAATGCAAACACATACAAGTGGGAGAAAATTCACTAAATTTCACCAGCTTGTCTTACTAACTATACATCCATGAAATACATTGGGAAGGTTAAAGGCACAGTTCAGCCTTTTGGATGACGTTTTTCAATGCGATTACAACCCTTTTGAATGAAAAAACTAACTAGGAAAATCAATTAAGCGTAATTCAAAATCAGTGAACTCAATGTTTTTATAACATTGAAATGTTAAAAAATGTTGAAAACATTGAAATCACTGATCTTGAATTATGCTTAATTGTTTTCCTAGTTAGCTTTTTAATTAATTTAAGAAGGTTGTAAATAAATGCGCCTTAAAAACCACCATTCAAATGGCTGAACTGTGCCTTTAAATAAAACTATAATTTGCATCACTGACCCTATATACAGCATTAAACTGTTGAGTATACTGGCCCATGTGTGAATTTAATTATTGAAAGGGATTTGTACTGTAGATGAAAATTTCGAGTGTAATTTTTATACATTTATTAGGCCTAACCAAGAACAGTTGCGAAGAATGCGGCCCTGCGATTCCTGTGCAGCGCTCTAACCAACTGAGCTACAGAAAGACAGTTACAGCTAGGGGTGGAAAAAGTATCGGACCATGGGACCATTGGTCCCAGAAATTTTTTTAAGTTCCCAGAAAATATTTCCCCAAGAAAGAAAAAATTGTAATAATTCAGATAAAAGGAGAAATTCAGAGGAAAATTAACACCATGACCTCAGAAATGCAATTATAAGTGTGTAAGTGTATTAGACTATAGAATGATGTAACAATTGTTGAATGGCAAATGCATTTTTAGCCAATCTGGGACACCTGATTTCAAAATTTTCTGGGAGACCATGGATCCACCTGATAGTGCCCCCCTCCCCCTCCTCTAGTAGTGCTCTTTTTTGCATCTGTATTTACCTTAGGATCAGACACTTGATGCATGTTATCTATATTAGTTTTATGTTATATTTTAAGATTCTCAGTGCGGCACTGAAATATTTTTTTTCTGTAAAATATACATGTAGCATGACATCCAGTTTGACAACTTATTATGTGTCACACAGTTACATTGGCCGAGTGTCGATTTTCTTGATCATTCGCAGAAAATTTTTCAATGAACCTTTTGCGGTCCCAGAAAGTAAAATATTTTTTCCACCCCTGGACAGTTGTCGAGCTCTAACCGCAAGTTCATGTATATAACCAAGTTTATGCAAATGTACGATTTATGGGTAAATCTCAGGATATTGGTCATTGCACTCTAAATAACAAATTGTTGAAGGGATTTGTATATGGAAATTTTAAGTGGGATTTTTTTGACATTTATTAGTTAGACCTAACCAGGAGTAGTTTCGAAAAATGCAACTCAGGGATGGATTTACTGGGGGGTGCGGGGTGTGTGCACCCCCCCTAGCCCTGGCCAGAGGGGGTGCAGGGGGGGGGGTGCTATTTTTCATGATAAAGCAAAATATTATTAGAGACAAAATGAGATACAGTAATTTGAGTAATAACATGATGATAAGCAAAGTGTGAACAACAATTACAATTCAAATACTGTAGTCAAGCAAGACTTTGCAGTAGTGAAACAAGTTGATGGGCGGGCAGCACACATGACTGACACAACTCGGCACCAGAGCTGGCAGAGCACCCCCCCCCCCTCCACCAGATCATGCTGGGTCCATCCCTGCTGCAACTTGCAACAAAATCTGATTTCAATGCATGTTAAGTAGAAATGTCGACACATGTTGCCTTGTGATTTGTAATTTATGTGTAAACATTTTCAATCAACATGCGTTGAAATCAGATTTTGTTGCAAGTTGCAGCAATTTTGTTGTTCGTGTAATTCCACCTTAAGCCTGGTTCACACTAGCAATTTTGTCGGCGATTTTGTGTTTCTGACGGATGCGAATGGTGAACTCGCACATAAAGGTATAGTCTATAGAGTCACTTTTCAGAAGTAAAGAATCCCGACTAAGTCTTTTGCATGTCATTCATTTGATCACATTTGCCAGGAGGAGAAAACTACCCGATAGAATTGCTAGTGCTTTACTCTGTTGTATCAATTTCTAGGTTTCAGACCCAAGTCTTACAGCAACATACGTCGAGCCTTATATGACCTTGGGCATCACTGATGATGCATTTGAATCACATGTAACCCAAGTATTGACAGCATACTCTGTCGACTCCCTTAAGATGGGCCTACAGTCATTAAGAAAGCGCAATGAAAGTGTAAGAAGAAATGGCTTTCTCCCCTCACAGGATTTTTACATACCAATGTATTGGTATGATATATTACATACCAATGTAACAATTCTTATGAGTTGCCATCCAGCAGAAGAGAAACATGAAATAAGTTTTCTTGACCACGCTACAGATGCGATTACCCATTTAGGATATTTTTCAACATATCCACGTAAGCCCCATTTGCTATGTAACCTAACACAAGATGGAAACTATGTTGTTTTGTTAGGACCTTTAAGCTATACACGATCTCTGCTCGCCTCAAACAGTCAAACGCCGGTGATTGGTGTCTACCAATTAGCGCCTCCTATGCAACTGTTTGAAAAACGTTTCAAAGATACACCTTTCATCAAGTGTGATCCAATTGGCATTGCCTTAAGTCCTGCGAGTATTATTGGAGGTCAATATCTGATTGCTATAGTTACCATGGGAATGGCGGTAATTTTGTTGAACGTGGTCACGCTTGAACGTTCAACTGTTCAATTGGAATTCGTACTACCGCAATCGTTTTGGCAGGCAATTTGGGGAACTGACTGTGTTTCGTTTTCCCCCGATGGTCGATTTCTGAGCGTGATGTGTTGTATGGAAAATGAGTTCATGAACACGTGCTTAATTATGGATGTGAGCACGCTTGAGCCCCTCTGCTGGATGGCGGCAGAAGGAACTTTGTCCTGGCTGCGTTGGCTCTTCCCCATGTTTTCAGCATGCGGAACAAAAGTAGTTTTATCCACATTTTCTGGGTACGAAAACGAGTACGATGATACCAAATACGAACTGATGTTTTATAAGATTTCGAGAATGCAGAGTTTAAAGTTTTCATGTCGTGTTGTCATCTTGGAACTTGTAAAACCTTCTTTACTGGATCAGCTGCCTTTACCGCAAGATTTGATCACATTTCTGGGCGGCGGCAGAACAGCACTTCAAATCTCTGAGCCTGGAGATACTGGATCTTCTCAACGTAGTGGCAAAAAAATAACGTGTAGATGCAATTTACTTTAAAAAATTATAACTTGGGGGCGTCTTGAATAAAAACTGCGTAACTGTCGTTTAATAATAATAATAATAATAATAATAATATGTATTTATTTAATCACGATAAGTTAGTTACAGGCAGTGCTGATGTGGTCGTGGCAACAATGACGTTTCAAAATGGCTGATAATTTGCGTTTAAACTAGTTTAATTCGAAAATAGCTTTGGTGACCCCCAATTTTTATTTTATTAAAAGTTTTCTTAGTCATTAGGGCAATTTTTAAAAAATTCTATTGATCCAACATTTTTCAAATGAAGAAAACATTTATTCTGTTAGTAATTTGTTTTTTTTGATTTCCTAATGACTACTCAAATATTAAAAGAAAACTTTTTAAGGGATACGGCAATATATTATTTTATTATTTCATTTTAAGGAACTTTTAAAATTATATGTAAATCTCTTTTACCGATTTTGCGTAACTTTATTATTTCTTGAGATATTTGAACAGAAAAAATCACAAATCAGCGAGCTTTCCGCCATCTTGGATTTTGGCGGATATGCATGTGACATCATAAGCAGGGTCACGCAAGAATTTTATCCATAGAGCAATTGATTATTA